GAAGAACTTAGGCGGTACAGATATCTAAAATACATCTTAGAGATATAATAAACGCGTCTATAAAACGAGTAGGATGTTTTTCAATATATCTAATGGGCTTCTACAAAATAATTTATTATAAGCCACAAGCAAATTGACCAATCACATTATTTTAAAAAATAATCGACTGGTTGGTCGATTTGCCTATGGTTTATGATGAAACGATGTCGATTTGACGGTTTCAACATCGATTCGACATCATTTCGGTGTCGATCGACAAGTAATTTCTCGTTGAAAATACACGGAAAAAACGTAAAAACGTAAAAGGATTAAGCAGTAAAGAATTAAACAATAAGTAAATTAAGTCTACAATAGGTATAAGCCTTAAGCCGTAAAAAATTAACTAATCACAATCAAATACGAGGAGAATAATCGAGTGTGATTAATCAATTTCTTACTACTTAAGGCTTACTACATCTAAGAAATTATGTGATTAGATCCATATCCTGAACTTTCTTTTATCGCTAAAAGCGCCCCTGAAAATGGCTTATAAGTCTTCTGATTAGTAAGATAGAGTTCATATGAAAAGATTCACGACTGGTGGCCGAAGGCCAAAACGACGAAAACGACGAGCGAGAATCGCGTCTACGTGCATATTAATGATCTAATCAATGACACAATCGAGCGCGAAGCACGTCTCGTTCGAACTTTGCTCGTCGCTCTTCCTGCTCGTCGTCGCGTCTCGCGACAGGCCGGCCATTAATAATTCTTACCTGTAGGGCTCTTAGCACATCGCGGGATATTCTCCCCTCGGCGCGCTAGTCGTTTCTACAGATACGTTAAAATCGCGGCTTCTGTGTGCGTAATGCGGTGGACGCGCCTCTCGGTCGGTCGTTGGTTGTCCGACCGACTCTTGACTCGATTTCGCGACCGCAAACTCGGGAAGATATATCTCTCCCTGTGCGAGAGCGCCTCTCTTCTCTCGCTCCGTTCCGACGAAGGGACTCTCTCCATCTCGCTCTCCTTTACCGCGAGACGCTGCCTCGGATTCTCTCTCCTCCTCCTCCTCATCTCTCTCTCTCTCCCTCTCTCTCTCATTCTCCCTTTCTCTCCCTCTTTATCCATCCATGGGGGCCACGGGGCCCCGCCAATGGGACAGGGGGATAGCAGACCCCGTCGCAGAGACAACATAAAGATTTAAGACTGAGAGATGCGCCAATAAACATGCTGCTGCGCCCCGGCTGCAGTCAGCTCGCGCTCTTCTCCGCGCTGCGTTCACCGCTGCTGTTCCGTTTCATTCGGTTTCCGCTCCGTTCTGTTCTGCTCTGCTCTGTTCGATTCTGTTCTGTTCGTAGCCACCGCATATGCGCGTCGCTCGCTCGCGCGAGCGCGAGCGCATACAGGGTGTCTCATCTTTAACGATTTTACTGTTTCTTGAATTTGGAGAAGATTCTTTTTCTTTTCTTAAAACGCTAAAGTCTGTTGCTTTAACCTCTCTTTCTCTCTTATATATTATAATAATCTGGTAATTGACCAGAAAGAAGGATCAACCAATCAGAAGCCGATAGAAAAGCGCTAATAGAAAAGGATATGTTGTCACTCGGATATGTTTCTCGAACTCAATTCGCGAGAGGTCTTTCCTGACGCGTTAAGACAGATTTATTGTAGATCACTCGATCGTTATCAGATACTAATGAACGATCCGTCTCGTTTTCCAACATGAACTGTAATCCAGGGAAGGTGGCCTCTCCGGATAACGAGAAACGGGTACACCTGCTGCTGCTCGGCGTTCCCGGCGAACGCGCTTTCGTGCACACGGCGGAAATAAAAGCTTTCAATGCGAAAGGACGGTCGTATACCGCGAAAGTAGTAGATCGGGACGTTGGTCGAGCAAAGCGACAAGGGACTTGAGCTGGGCCCACTGTCGGTGCTGCTGACTTCTCTCTCTCTCTCTGTCTTCCTCTTTCTTTCCCTCTACGCTCCTCGACTTATTTATTCCTTTCTCCATCGCTGGCTCCCTTTCTTCCTCGACTTCTTCTTCATTTCTGTCTTTTTGTCCGTTTTCTGCTTCCGCAAACGACAGCCGCTTATTTATACCCCGTCTTTGCATCGCGCGCGGAATCGAGCGAGGGTGCTTTTGCGTTCGCTCGCTGCTGCCGCCCGCGAGTGTTGTTACTGTTTACTCTCTTTTCGCTTATATTAACTTTGTATCTCTAATGTGTCGTGCTTGTAACTCCTGTATTGTAAAATGCGCTTCGGAAGGAAAGATCGCGCGGCATTTTTTGAAATTTCGGGGCGCGAGATCTGTCGTCATTCTAGCTTTTACTTTCGCTAGAAAGATTCTCCGGTTAATATCATGAAGAATACGCGACAACTTCCAGGTGAATTTCAGCTCTGTCGTCTCGCTCTGTGAACGATCTTCTTCTCAAATTATTAGATGACCGAGGTCGTGGGAGACATAGTACCGGGAATATACACACGCACGATATACATGCGCGAGTACATCGCGGTGCGTATGCTCGCGACAAAAGAGAGAGAGAGGAGGGCCGAACAAATAAATGCTGAAAAGAGGAACAAAACCGACATTATGTGGCATTAACATACAAAGTATGTCAGATCCGCGATCCGCAGGCATAACATAGTATCGCGCGGCGTACGCTCGCATACCCCGTCTGCTTTTCGCTTCTCCTCGTCCTCGTCGTCGGCGGTGGCGGCTGTGAGAGCAAAAGGGAAGGATACGCCGCTCTCTTTCTCTCTCTCTTTCACGTGTGCATGCGTGCGTGCCCGAAAACGAGAGTAAGAGAGAAGGAAGGCGAACAGGTGGAAGGAAGGAAGAGAGAAAGGAAGGAAGGAAGCAAGGAAGAAGTCGCCATTCAACGTGTGAGGGAGAGAGAAAGAGAAAAGTGCATGAAAGAGGGTGGAATGATGAACGTGCTATGGTGTACGGCGAAGTGCGACGAGTACGAGGGAGAGAGAGCAAGGAAAAAAGGAACGCGGAGATAGGCAGTGATGGATTTCTAAGTAGTAGCCGCGCGACTAAAGGGTGCACGCTTCAAGCTGTCGCGCTCAACTTCACCCACTGATCATAAACATACATAACACATCTTGTATGTACAAGTACGCAGGTTTTGCACTCAATCTTTAATTATAACAATTTTCACAGGTTTACGTCGTTTTACATTCGCTGAATCCGCCACTGGCGGGAAGGGGAGAAAAGGAGAGCGAGAGGCGACGCGTTTACGCGATTCTCCAGTCGTCCGAAGGTCCCCCCCATCTCCCATCGTTTCGTTGTCTCTCCCCCGATATGTACGTGTCTGTTTGTGTGTGTGTGTGTGTGTATGTGCGCCACGCGGTGCGGCTAACGCAAAAGGGCTGCCTGGAGCGGGAGGAGAGAACGCTGGAGTAGCAGAACGCGCGGGAAAGGGAAAGATCCGAGAAGGCAGCAGCCAGCGCAGCAGTAAGGCGAAGACAAAAGGAAAAAACGAAGCGCATATATCAGAGCCGGCCTACGACGCCGACGACGACGACGGCGACGCCGAGGACACACACACGCGCACGCAAAACGAAGGATTCTCCTACGGTGTCACCGCCGCCCTACAGGGCTCCCGATCGGCTACCGCTAGCAAGGGCCACGAACCACCTCAGAAGGACCAAACAGCAAAATTGACTCTTTCACTCGCATTATGTTCCATATTATCTGCTTTTAGAATAAAATTAGTATACATATTTGATGAGTTTCCATAAGTATAATTAAATATTCCAAAATGAAACATTTAAAAGTTCACACACAGCTAAAGATTTGACTTTAATTATTGATATAAGTTAAATATTTTACTCAAATATAGCACACTAAGAAAATACTGTTTATATACTACACACAGATCAAGTAGAAACTGATAAGACTAAGAGTCTTGTAAATATTTAATTACTTATAAAAACTCCTAATATGTACACAGAATATAAAAAAAAAGTGAAGAATAAATAAAATTATAAAGGAGTATCAAAAGTGTAGTTAAAAGTTGATCCTAAATACAAACAGTTATAAAATATAATAATATAACTTAGAACAGAATGATTTTTGTTTCTCTAAATTTAAACGTTTTCAAGATCACGCGGTCAAGTAGATAAGTTACTTTGAGGACGTTCTGTTTCTGATGCTGCCAATCGTAACGATCGCTCGTACCCAACGCTACCCGATCCCTTTTCGCATCGCTTTTGCGGCTTCACGTTTACCTCTATGCGTTACTGCCCACTAACGAAAATTTACACGCGCGTCTCGAATTGTATTTTACGATACGTTTGGAAAACGTATGTTAAATGTAAGATGTTGCGCTTTACAGAGTATAACTAGATTGTTAGTTTCTCGTGAAATTCGGTGAAATGATTGTAAGTTGTGCTATAAACTGTTAGATACTTGTAACTGAGAATATGCAATTTATTTCTCAAGCAGTTTACAGACACTAATTTATGAAAAATGCTACTTGATGTATGTACTGAAAATATCTTGTCGTTTAGTGTTATCTATGGGCTTGCTATAAAATTTTATAAATTCCAATAACAAAAAAAAAAAACAAATGAGATTCGTAACGTTGTAACATTGCAAAGTATATATATATATATATATATATATATATATATGTATATACTATATATATACTTATATATATACTATATATATTATATATATTATATATATTACATATATATATTATATATATTATATATATTACATATATATATATATATATATATATATATATATATATATATATATATATTATATATATATATATTATATACTACATATATATATAGTATATATATCTAGAAAGATATATATATATATTATATATACTACATATATATATAGTATATATATCTAGAAATATATATATATATATAGTAAAATATATGTGTTCAAAGTACTAATAATAAAAAAGAAAAGACTATGTTTCTTTGCGCGCGCAAGTGTTCCTAAATGCACAATAATTAATGCAAGATACTTATGGAAGAGTGTCCTATGTTACTGTATATATGTATACATTTAAACCCTCACCAATAAACAGAAATAATCTTTAGTGACTACTAGCATCAAGGTTCAGTATTTAAGTTATTAACAAACAGTAAGTATCCTTTTGATGATAAGATACCACGGCACTTAAGATGAATCTGATATCTAGTCAACCAGTGTAAACGAGCAGTGTTACCAAAAATCTCCTCCAATACTTCTTGAGGTAGTATTTCTGTATAAAGGGAAGAATAAAGTAGTAGATATATTTAAAAAATAACTGGTTTTCATTTTGAAGATACTTACGACATGGGTCGCTGTGTGTCAATAATTGAATATCGTTTTCCTTGGTGAATGTCTGTAAAGCTGGCGGAACAACGCAACATGTGGCTAAATTAATTTGGACAATGTTTGGCTTTATCTGGAAAATAGATAAATATAATCTTGAGGTATGTTTGAAAATGAGTTATAAATATCATTTTATCAGATAATCTATTCTCACATTGGCCCATTGAAACAGTTCGATGAACGTATTTGTATTAATGTCACTCAAACCAACACTGGATAGCTTGTTACTTTTCACATATTCTTCTACCACAGACCATATTCGTTTCAATGATGATAATGTGTCTTCTGGTTCTTCAGTACCTTTGTAAGCTATTACTAAAGCTTCTATAGTATCTGTATTGAGTGTCTTAAATGCTACAACAGAATATAACATTAGAGATGCTTAAGAGGTTCTTTTGTTCTAAGGTTCTAAGTATTCTTTTAAGTTGAATTGCTTGAACTGGTACAGACTGGTACAATAAGTTAGAATGGAACAAAAGTACTTGTCTCACTTTAGACAATTCAGTTGAAAAGAACAGACATAACTATATTACAGCAATTAACATACTTTGGTCCAATGCCTGCTTCAGTGAATCCTCATCAGGTGAAGAGATAAACACCTTTATGGCGATTTTCAAGTCTTTCCTATCAACATCCTGTAAACCTATGTCCTCCTTTCCATTGATCTGCACAATTGTAATTAATAAAAATTCCTCGAATACACAAATATTCCAAAATATACAAATCAATATACGTACAATCGTCGTACCATCTCCCTTGCCTTGCTTGTCATTTAGGATAATTTTCAGTGCTTCGATTAACTGAAATAAATCGACGAGGTATATCAATCTCAACGGAGAAACAGGTTTGAAAAAAACGTGTCACGAACAAAACGACATAACCTCAACGATGACAATCGATTGGCCGCACGGTCACGATGACAGTTACGCTACTAATTGTTTTGCGCCGCGATAAGAACGTAATATTATGCAATATGCAATGACCAACCTCATCAGTAGAATTTTGGCTTGCCTTCTTCTTCGCCTCGCTAAGGGAGAGTATGTTCCCGGTGTTGACTAGCAAAACGTTTGAGACCATGCTTAACAGATAATAACGATATCTTTCGCAGCGTGATCGCCTTTTGACGTTTGCGTTCAGTAGTTGAGATATTTATACTATCGTGGCAAAAAGTGACGTGCACGAACGTGACTCTCCTGTTTAGTCGCAGGAAACAAATACCTAAAACTACTCTGCAACGAAGAGAAAATTCTCGAACAATTTATCACGGCTAATTGTAAACGCGCGGTGCGTGATTAGACTTCACGTTCAAGTATACCTTTTACGGATTACATCGACTTATATCATACTGTAGATTCTAGATAAATCACATGAGTGATCATTTCCGTCGCTGACGAGTGCAAATTCGACACGGATTTCCGCAAACGTGTCAGCGCAACGAATTTTGTTAAGAATATTTGGTAACAAGTATCTATCGTCCTAATGAAATCTATCGTTGTGTTGAATTTCATGCCTGTTCCCAAATTGCAGTTTAACAATATTAAAATCGATACCGCAAATATCTAACAGTTATACGTGACGCGTTAGCAATAATTTTTTTCAACCAACTTTTTTTTAAATATTGTGGTATCTATTTCTAAATAGAAAGCGAAAATAAGCAAGAGAACAATCGTCACACAATATTCCTATAATTGATACCTGATTGTGGCATAAAATGTTTTTACAAAATTATAATAAATATATTCTCGATTCTGCCAGACTATCGGTATGTAATTATGAAATTATATAGTTTGAAGAAACATCACAATTATAAACATTCGAGGAAATCAATTTTAGTACCAGATTCTGATTGGTTGACAAACGACGGATGGCAGTATCAAAGTTACTTTGAACAATTATTGTGCATTATTGCACATTGTTTTTTATTGTCACAAATTATGCTGGTTCTCGTATGAGAAACATATGAATCTTTTATTTATGACGTATTTTGCGTCGCATTGATGATTCGTCGGCGAAAGCACAACATGGGAAAATGGGGAAAAGCTGCTCCAATGAGTTTGCCACACCGACGCGTACACATAATTCGTAACACTTATGCGACGAGATACACGATATTTTGCTTATCATTCTGTAATCGTTATCAACATCGGTATCAATCCAACTCTATACGGCACGTCAGTTCTGAGAAGATCAGTGCGAAATTGAGTTGTCAGAAATGCCTATCGACATTCCTGCGTTTGTGTACGCCGCTGCGGTAGCAGGTGGTGGAATATTAGGTTACGTGAAATCCAGTGAGTTTACGTCGAATATTATCTTAGTAAATTTTCCAATTTTTTTACATATATATCAGTGTCAACTATATAGAGTAGGAGATTGCATCAATTTTCAATCAGGAATGCGTTATTAGACGCAAATATCTATTGTACTAATGAAGTTTTGGTATACTCAAGCAGTGTTTGAATAACACAATATTTCTTAATATTTTCCAGATTCTATTCCTTCTTTGGGAGCTGGTCTACTTTTTGGATCTATGTTAGGTTACGGGGCTTATCAGACTTCACAAGATCCTACCAATATTGCAGTTTTCCTAGGAACCAGCACAGCACTGGGAGGTTTAATGGGATATCGATATTATAATTCTGGTAAAATAATGCCAGCTGGAATGATTGCTGTGTTAAGGTGTGATACTGTTTGTAAATTGATACTGTTACAATTTATGTGCCTTTAAATTAATAAATTCATGCCAATATATTAATGTTGAAACTGTTTTCAGCGCTATTATGATTGTAAGGACAGTTACACGGTACTTCTCACCACCATTGAAGACAGAGTAACAGTCTTCACTATCAGAGGTATTGCATTTATTAATACCAATGTTTTTAATATAAGGAGCATATAATGGCACAATGTTCAAGGAATTATTGATATGTTTTGAAGAAATGTATTATACATATACTATGTCAAGTACATTAAAACATTTTGTAAGTTAGAAGTTTCTGTTAAAATAAAATCTGGAAAAATTCAATAGTGTAATTTTTTTTATTATCAATTAGATAATAATCAATTAGTGCACAAATAAAATAATATTCCGTTTGTTTTAGTCGTGTTATATATTCCCTGATAAATTCGGCTATTATAAATAAATAGAACTCAAAATCAAAGTGACCAATGGCGAATCTGGCACTACGTGACCAGCTGATTGGCTGGCATAAATACGGATTTAGACATTGCGACGCCAATGCAGAACAAATGCTTATATATATAAATATATATATATATATATATATATATATATATATGATTTTGCATCGGCGTCGCAATGTCCAAATCCGTACATGTTTATGACAGCCAATCGCAGAGTAGCTGAGTAGCTGGTCATATGACCAAGTTGGCGATTCTTTTTACTAGGGCTGCGTTCCGAAATGCACTGCCAGTACTGAAAATCTATAGTTTATGTTACGTATGTTACGTCCACGATAGATAACTATATAGGGAAATTTGAAAGTAGTGAAATCAGTGACTTACGTGGACGGTCAACAGAGTGATGGCTTCGCTTTTGGGTCACTCTGCTTTTCACCGAGTTTACCCTGGGTCTCGGGAGCCTGGCGAAACGATTGGTGAATCTGGCGAAAAATCAGCGGTGCTTGTTCTCCTGGCTCGGCCTCGGATGTTCCGATACCACGCGGGTTGATGCGGCCCGCGATTCAGAATTTGATTTCGCAACGTTTGAAATATGAAGGGTAGGCAAAAGTAATTGCAACACAGTCGGATTTTACGACTAAGTATAATATGCTGAATAAGTACATGAAGCTACCAGAGACTAACTATGAGAAGAAAATAATTGCCTTCTCTACAAATGCGCGCGCTTTTATATGTCGCTTTGTTGCTGAGAGTCGTTCTCCGATTGGTCCATGGAGTTATGGCGAGGGAAGAGATTCATTCCTTTGCATGATGTCACCGCGTCGGTGTCCTGAGTGGTGTTTGGGATTCATGCTCCTGTTTATGTTGGCTTATCGCACTGAGCGATAGCGGTTTCTTTGGGTCGATCCGTTGATTTCGAGACTCTCCAGCAGCACGCAGCATTCGGCATTTTAATTATAATGTTTTAACGTTCGCGAATATGCATATGCGCACGTACTTACATCTAGTAACGTAGGGATAAAATATCTAGTGATATCTGAAATCAGACAAGTCGGCCTCCCGGTCTATAATAATATATTATTAATGTTCTAAAATAGATCCGGACGTTACACGTATATTATAGAATTTCAGTACTGGCAGTGAATTTCGAAACGCAGCCTAGAGGTTCTTTACTCCCTCTCTTTTTATCTCACTCTTGTATTTCGCTCACTCCAACGGCTATCGTCTAGTAGTGTGCACACAGTGTGTGTTTCCGAACGCAGCCTAATCCGAATTAATAACAACCGTAGTTAGTGAATTCTTGGATTTTATTGGTATATTCTTTTAGATCTAAAAATGTACTTCAATCGGATTCGAGAATTCACTAAGGCTGCGTTCTGTTTCACGCATATGCGCACATTTATCTATAGTTCGTGTTACGTATATTGTAGACAATGCGCGCATAATGCGTGAAACGGAACGCAACCTAAGGCTGCGTTCGGAAACGTCACTCAAGTGTACCCGTTGCGTTGGAGTGAGCGAGATACAAGAGTGCGATAAAAAGAGAGGGAGAGTATTCGAGTGACGTTTCCAAACGCAGCTTAACTATGGTCGCTTTCCAATAAGAGACACAAGTCGACACAAACACCATTCTATTTTTGTTCCACATTTAGTGAGTAACAAAGATAAGATGATACTTGTGTCGACTTGTGTCTCTTGTTGGAAAGTAACTTATGATAGTTACTAATGGGAGCGTCCCGATTGACCACGGTACGATTGGACACAACCAACAGATGAAAATAGTTATCTAGTGAATTACTAGGTCGAACCAATCATTACAATCTGTGTCCAATCGTATCGTGGTCAATCGGGTCCCACCCGTTACTAATCAGGATTAACGTTGCTGTGTAAATGTAGTCGTAGCGTGCGTTCAAGGAACACGTTACTTAGAAACCCTTCAAGGCTATGTTCAGAAATCCTACTCGATGAGTAGAGTTACTTTAATAAACCAATTATGATAAATAAATCTTAGTTCCTTTTGCCCTGAATAGCTAATTAAATGTTATTCTACTCACCGAGTAGAGTTTCTGAACGCAGCTCAAGAGAGACTGGACAAGCGTCCACAAAATGGCGGCCGCCAATATGTGACTCATTCAAGGCTGCGTTCAGATTCCCCACCCGGGTGTATTCTATTACTAGAAGTGCTATAGTATATGTAACATATACTATAGTGTTTCTAGTAATAGAGTGCACCCGGGTGGGGAATCTGAACGCATCTCAAGCTATAGGAAACATTGGGAACACGCAGTCTATGGCCCATATTCTGAATCCTCTTTTATCTATAAAAGTGCCTCTAAAAGAGGCTTAGGAGCTACTTGATTGGCGGAGAAGCTATATTTAAGGCACTTTTATCGATAAAAAAGGATAAAAGAGGATTCAGAATATATTTGGGTCAAATGCAGGATTCACACTACGTCCGATTTCCGACATACGACATCCGATATCCAATAAGAGAACAACTTTCTAATAGAGAATTCAATTCTCCGTTGGAAAGCTGTTCTCCTATTGACCCGATTGACCACGATGAACGACACAGATTGTAATGATTGGTTCGACCTAGTAATTCACTAGATAATTATTTTCATCTGTTGGTTGTGTCCAATCGTACCGTGGTCAATCGGGACGCTCCCATTAGTAACTATCATAAGTTACTTTCCAACAAGTCGACATCAGACGCGGTGTGAATCTTCCAAAAGTATATTTGTTTTACTTTAACTTATTGGGCGCATTCAGTAGAAAAAGCGCTCAGTGAGCAATCAACGATTATTGGTTCTTGCTATTAGATCCCTAAATCTAGACCAATTACATTGACAAATTACTCAACTGTTGTGCAACTGTTGAGTCTGCTGAATGCAGCCATTGCATTAGTTCAGTAGTGCAGCTAAAAAGAACAGACCAAATATTAAAGCCCAGGGAAAGTGCAGAAAGTGTCAATGTACAGAACAAATTTAATTTCTGGTTCGACAGTTTGCAACTTACGTACTTTTGGCGGTATCATTCACGTTTCAGATTCCCGTTTCACCGGTTCGGTTGTTGAACGCCAATGAAGGAGCAAGGTAGAATTGTGCGCATTGGAGAGCATAAAAGTAAACGTGCCGTTGTTAGCATTCTACAATCTTTTATCTCTTGTCCGCACAATAATTATAATGGAAGTTAACGATTGTATTTTAACTAATTCAGAGAATACAGATTCCAAATCCAAGAATCATTCATTGCCCGTGACAGGTGAGTTTATATTATTTATTAATAACAAATAAGATAAAAAAATAAGATAAAAATTACTTTCAAGAGGGACGGTGCGGTAACAAAGCGTTAGTTTTTGAATATTTTTATTAAAAAATGTCGCACGTGTATTCAGCCAATTCCTTACTGTATAATTTTATCTTGACAATAAATTATTGTTTTTTTTCACGTAAAGAACACTTTGTGAGGATGATGTAACGGTCTTGTGTTTGGCCAAACATTGAAAATACTAGTTTGTACATAAGCAGTAATATATATATATATATATATATTTTTTTTTTTTTTTAATATGAAACTAGAAAAATTTTTAACAGAACAAAATAGAACAATTGGTTTATTTTCTTTCAGTATGGTAACATATGAGGTATTTAATCACAAATTTGAGAAACAGTTTTGGAATATTTTAGTTACATTTTTATATCCAATATTAGAAAATCTTTATTATATATAACAAATTATAGATTTTCAATATTAATATTGAATATCAGAACATAGCCAATATATATCTTTGTATATACTAAGTTGATTGTTTAATATATTGTATATATTAAATGTTTAATATTTTTAAATTTTTTTATGTTTAAGATGTATTAATTGTTCATGATGTAAAGTTCAAAAATATACCATTAACTGAAAAGAAAAAACTAATAGGAAAGAAAAGACGATATAATGAAATTGAATCTGAAAAAAGACGACTAGCTGAGGAAGAACATAAGAAGGAAGTTGATGAACAGAGATATAAACTATTCATGCACCTGTTGAACAAAAGTAAATTTTACTCATCCTATATTTTTACTAAAATTGATAAATCTATTGAGAAAGAAAAAGCTATTAGGAAGAAGAAGGATGAAAATATGGACAAGGAAAATAAAGGACCATCAAAGAATAAAAACAAGAAAGCCAATTTAGAGAAATGTGACATAAGAAAATATATACCTGCAAATGTTAGTAACAACAAAATTTTAATTTTTATTATAATTTGCAATAAAATCAAAGGAACTAATTTAAGTTTGATTAATTTCTATATCTACATTATATATTCTTATAGATCAAAGCTAAACCTAAGAAGTTAAACCTAAGTACAGAAGAAATAGAAGCAGAATTACATACTGAATCAGACAATGAGAAAAAAGAATCTACAGATGTTTCCACTATTGTACCTAAATATTTCTGTGGGGAATTACGTAATTATCAGCTAGATGGTTTACAGTGGTTGAAGGTACTTTATGAAAATGGTTTGAATGGAATTTTAGCTGATGAGATGGGTCTTGGAAAAACAATACAAGTAATAGCTTTGCTATGTCATCTGATAGAGAAGCAACAGGCTGGACCTTACTTGATAATCGCACCTCTTTCAACTATACCAAATTGGATGTCAGAATTTGAAAGATTTGCTCCTGATATACCAGTTGTGTTGTTCCATGGCCCAAAAGTTGAAAGACCTGCTATACATGCCGAAATTAAACAGAAATATGAAGTCAACAACTACAAAACACAGCCTGTTGTAATCACTACTTTTGAGATACCATTACAAGAAATTAAATTTCTACAGTCTCAGAGATGGAGATATATTGTGATAGACGAGGCGCAAAGGATCAAGAATCATAGATGTCTCTTACTCAAGTATGTTATTGAAAATATGTGGCATTAATTAAAAATATGTCTGTCGCTGATAGTCACCAGAATTATTTCTAAATTGAAACATGCTTTACGATGTATATCATAGTAATTATATTTTTATTGTTTTCAATTATTTATCAATAACAAATAAAAAAGTGTTACTCTTGAGATAGCTAAGATGTAACAAAGCATTAGCTTTAGTATTTTTTTATTAAAGGACATGTACTCAGCCAATTCTTAATTGTATAATTTCGCCTCGATAATAAACTATTGTGTTTCCAAAATTAATATTAAGTTTGGTAGTAACTTCTATATGTAAATCTTAGATAAATTATTCTAAATGAATATCTTAATAGATATTGCAAAAAAATGAATATTTTAGTAGACATCGTAAAAAATGTTTTGTTTTTTGAAAATAGCTCTTTTGATTATACAGCTTTATATTACCTTTATTGTAAGAATGTATTCTCTAGAACTGAAATCATACATTTAAAATTTTTAGAACTTTAAAAACAGTACAATCTATGAATAGGCTACTGTTAACTGGAACTCCGCTTCAAAATAATTTGGCTGAGCTATGGTCCCTTTTAAATTTTCTATTACCAGAAATCTTTGATGACTTAGCTGTATTCGAATCATGGTTCGATGCAAAGGAATTTCAAGAACAGGAAAATACTGAAAAAATTTTGAAACAGGAAGAAGAGAAACACGTATTATCGTCGTTACGCGAGATTTTAAAACCATTTATGTTAAGACGTATAAAATCCGATGTTTGTCTGGAAGTTCCTCCTAAGAAAGAACTAATTGTTTATGCACCACTCACGGAACTACAACACGACTTATATCAGGCAGTTTTAAGTCGTGACATAGAAAAATTACGTAAAATCAAGAAAATTGATGTGATTTTGCCAACAGTAAATGGTAAAAGACCTAAAAGGCAATCCTTTCTAAAAAGTAAATACGGATCTTCCAAGGACGATTCCGATAACAGTTTTGAAAGTTGGTCTCCGAGTACAGATAGTTCAAATAATAACGATAGAGATGAGTACACAACACGAGATTCTATAGATCAGACAGATCTATCAATATGGAAACAGTATGCCAATGTCACAGACCGTAATTGTGAGTTTTTCGTCAACCTTACCCTTTTAAATACAAGTAAGTATTTTTACATTATTACAATGTTCTCACGTATTTATATAATCTAATCCACATTTAACGTTGCTTTATCGTTTTTATTTATTATTTCAGTGGTTATGTATAAAAAAATCGTAAATCATCCTTATTTGGTTCATTGTCCGTTGGACTCAGTTGGCTTGCCGAAAGTCGATGAAGACTTGATCAGATCCTCTGGCAAACTTTTAGTATTAGATGCGATGTTGGCAAAATTAAAGGCACAGGGACACAAAGTTCTCTTATTCTCGACGATGGTTATGATTTTGAACATGATTGAACATTATCTTTCGCTACGAGAATATCAATACGTCAGACTAGACGGCAGCGATAAAATCGAAACAAGACAGAAGAACATTAATATTTTTAATAACAACAAAGATATGTTTTTGTTCCTTATATCGACTAGAGCAGGTGGAGTTGGACTGAATCTAGCAGCTGCCGATACCGTAATTATATATGACTGCGATTGGGTGAGTGGAATCAGTGTGATATTTTTGCGTTCCTTGATACTGATGTTTCATTGTATTTTTTAAATAAAATTCTTTTCAACGATTACAGAATCCACAAGTGGATATTCAAGCTATGGCACGATGTCACAGGATAGGACAATCGCGACCCGTAGTTATCTACAAACTATGCACTAAAGGAACAATCGATGAAGCAATTATGAAGCGTGCTGAAAGTAAACGTCTTTTGGAAAAAGTTGTCATTTCAGAAAAGTGGAATGGAAAACACTTAAACGCAAACACGCTATTAGAATTGAAAAAATTATTGGAATCTAAAGAGTATAAAATTGTTAAATCTGAGAAAGAAGGTAAGACTCCATAACTCGGACAAAAGATCTTTCCATTTTCGAAGAACTGGTACAATAAGTTAGAGTGAACCAAGTGTACTTTTTTTCGCTCTAACTTATGTGTACTAGTTTAGAAGTTTTTTAAAACTGAACCACACACACACACACACACACACGTATATATACATATATAATGTATACTTATATATGAATACACACATCACAAGTAAGAAATTTCTGTGACTAAAAAATTAATTATTTTTGTAGTTTTCACAGAAACGGAGCTGGATCAATTGTTGGATAGGAGTGACTTGCTGAGTAATTCATCAAATTCATAGAAGATACAAAAATCTTTACAATTTATATATATATATATATATATATATATATATATATATATATATATATGTATATATAACAGATATAGATAGATCTTTACAATATATATACATATAACAGATTAAGGGCGTTTTTTAAAGCTAGCTCATTATACACTGCCTTAAAAACACTATTATCTATTTTTTAACAAATCCAATTTTATATAATAAGCTGTTTATTTAATGTATTTGTAATAAATCCGTTTTTTATCCGACGTAAATTTAGTTATGCGCAGTAATATCATATTTTTTTCAGGGAAAAAGACACAATTTTAAAATAATTTCAGATGTAACATTCCTTATACGTACTTATAATAAGACGTATGTATATAAGAATTTATATTTAAAAATTACAGATTATGATTTACTCGATTTCAAACGCGTTTTGCCGGTTAAAGGATTCTTATATTTTGAAGATAGTGCTAACTGTTCGCGAAATTCAGCTTCTAGTTTTACATATGTTCCACCTGCATCAAGTACAAAATATTATTTAATTTCTCTTATATATATATATAATTAATGCTCGACGATTTTAACGATGTACTGTTCGTTTGGATTAATGACGCTATATTCTATAAAGTAAAAGTACCGATTGCCGGAACACCCCCTATATCCGGACACATACGGAAACTCATTATTGTTAGTTTCAAATGTCTCTATTTCCATTTGTATTGCAATATTAACTTTTTAATTTTTACTGTTATTTATATCAATTCACATATGTTTTCACGTGCAATTTTGTTATAACACGCGTGCGTTTTGTCACAATAATCATATGTTATAACAAAATCAGCCTGTGTAACGTAATTTGTTACGATCTGATTAAATTTAATTGCAAGTTAAAAGATTACAGAAAGTTTTACATCTAATATGTAGTTCTTATAAAATGCTTATAAATAAATTAGAATGATCACAGAATCGTTATAAATAGTGAATAAATCTATTTTAGTGGATAATTCTACGATAATAATTTGTACGATGATTATGTCCAGATATTGGGTCAGAAAAATTGAGCAATTAGGATAAGCAACTTTGTGTTTATATTACTGTTCTTATTTATAATTAAAATATTTGTATTATTTATGAAATAAAATGTAGACACTGTGTATCTTTTACGTGATATTAAATTTTAATATATCAACTCCTTAAATGATTTATATATTTGGATCATAAAATATTTGTTGTTCTACAAAAGTTGAGCAAATGTTGCTTCTACAAAAGTTGAGCAATTTTAGCTTTGCCAAGATGTCCGACTATTGGGACCTTTACTTTCATCGATCACGCATTACGGGCGAAAAACCTACCGATCGGTTGCTTAGTTTTGTGATGCTGCTTGCTGCATGATCGTATAAGTGAACTTTCTGTGAGCGTTCTCTTCGTGAGCAGCGCTATCATCTGCGCCGCGGCTCTCTCTTCAAAATCTCTCTGATTGTCCTGATTATGCCTCACGTTCAAATTACCGCTCCAACATCTGCCGTTGCTCCTAAATGATATAAGAACATGTTAGAGAGACAAATAATAGCGTAGATAAATGAAGATATCCCGTATCTATTAAGGGGAGTTTCTACCTTGTTGGGTCAAAAATCGATTTTTTACATATTTTTAAAGATTGCACTTTCAAAAATATGTGGTAAAAATTTCAAGTCAAAATTCGAAAAATTGATCGAGTTACAGCCTGTTGAAAAGTCAGGTAACCTTGCGGAGCGCTGCGGCTTATATGCGTGTCGTCCTCTTTTGGGTCTTTGCAGCTGCTCTATTATTTTTTTGTTATATTTCTACGTGGCTACCGTTAGGCAGTGATGGATTTTGGCAAGATATTCGCCGTCCCAGGAATTTTCGCATGCGTAAGCGACGTCACAACTAGAAATCAGCTGCGTTCAGAAATGTATCTAGAGTGCAGTAGTAGGTACTATAAGGTGGCTCTTGTATTGTTCTCATGTGTGTTTATAAACAAGTGTCAACGTGTACTGAGTGAATAGCTGAAAAAATAATAAATTTGTTAGAACAAAGAAGATGGATGATCCGCAGCAGCCGACATCAAGTGGCATCGAAAAAAGGAGCAAGAAACCAAAAAGGAGAGTATTCCAGTATTACAGTAAATAACAAATATGTCAATTTCCTTATTATTATTCATATTACTTGCACTCTATTCCTATCAAAGCAATTTTCCTTCCTCCTGCTAATTCCTTCACATTTCTTTTCTCGCAGGGCCCTATACCTCAGATTCGACGAAAGTATATACGTCAGTGAGGACTCCGAGCGTTTGCTCTGTACGCATGCGCGAGACATATCTTGCTAAAATCCATCACTGCCGTTCGGACGTTAGCTAGGTCATTTTCTCAGTTTTTACTTCAGTATACTTCGAAACGTTGAAGTGGTAGAACGTTCTTCAAGTTTTCGATTATTTACAATTATTTTTTCGGTTTTGCATCATGTTCCTTAATACGAAAAGAAATAAAGCAAGTAATGTGCAGCCTGAACATAAATCCAAGAAAAGAATATTTTATGGAAATCGACATACAAATGAAACAGAGGTGTCGTTCGCTAGTACTTCCGCAAAAAAACTGAAGAATAAAGACGATTTTGAAATCACAATCGATGCCATGAATGGATATCGAATTATACACTTCATGTTTGTTTTTAATATACTGAAAACTTTACTGAAGTGTAAAAAATGTGACAGTGATGTACATTTTTATGTGAGAGGAGAACAAGGTTTGGGATTTAAAATTATTGTTGATTGCGATTGTGACTTAACTGAAATTGATTCTTGTCCCAAAATAAACAATAAATCGTTTGAAATAAATCGACGAATGGTTTTTGCAATGCGTCTCATTGGAGTTGGATTACAAGGCATCAATACTTTTTGTGGTTTGATGGACTTAGGTCAAGGACTAGCGACCAATGTATATTATGCATGCCTTGAAAACATCTGGACTGCCAGTAAAGCAGTTTTTGATACTGTCATACTAAAGGCAGCATCAGAAGAGAAGGAAAAAAATACTGAAGCAGAAAATGAATCTTTGGGCTTAACTGTCTCGGGCGATGTAACATGGAGTAAGAGAGGCTATTCGTCATTGTTTGAAGTTGTCACGTTAATTGGAAAGTATTCAGATAAAATTGTGGATTTGATCGTCAAGTCTACGTTTTGTCAGGCTTGCAATGATTGGCAAAAGAAAAACGATGAGGAATTTGAAGCGTGGTATGGAGGGCATAAAAAACATTGCGTAAGCAATCACACTGGGAGCGCCGGCAAAATGGATGGTGTGATCGAAATGTTTGCGAGATCTGAGACACTTCATGAAGTCAAATATATTAATTATATCGGTGACACAAAAACATTCAAGGCGCTCTTAGACAGTAAGCCGTATGGAGATGAACTTCCAATTACAAAAGAAGAGTACTTTGGACATGTAAAAAAACGTATGGATTTTCGACTGAGAGCCGCTAAGAGAAACAATAAAAGACTTTGTGGTAACGGTCCTGGAAAATTAACCGATGCCTTAATAAATGACTTATCGACATACTACAGTATGGCAATAATCCATAATTCTGATTCTGTCGATGCTATGAAAGATGCAATATGGGCTACTTTTTATCACAAGTGCTCGACGGATGAAAATCCACAACATGATAAGTGTCCGCCCGGTGAATCATCATGGTGTAAATGGAAACAAGCCGAAGCTAATAACGTTTTAGAATATGAACATCCAGCTCCACTTACGTTACAGGTCCAAGAAGTCATTCGATCTATTTATGAGGACTTATCGTCGGATGATTTATTGAAACGATATGTAGATGGTTACACTCAAAACAACGAGTGTTTCAACTCTTTGATTTGGAGTTTTGCACCGAAACACATATTCTGCACAAGAAAAACTATTGAAATTGCATCATTTTTGGCAGCATGCATTTTCAATGAAGGTTTTAATTCTGTGCTTCGAATAATGGAAGCCATGGGAATTAAAATTGGGATGAACGCGTCAATAATGGCTACCAGAGAAGATAATAAACGGAGAAGAAACGCTGACAAACGTGCTCTACAAGCTTCGTCGATCTGCCCGTCGGTTGGAGATTGCAACAAAAAACGAGCTGAATGAAGAGGAAAAGGGAGTACTATACGGTCCTGGGACCGCCGGCTAGCTATAAGTACTACTTAAACTTTAAACGCGTTTTTCTCGAAACGACGTTTTTGAAGTTGGTGGAAGTTCTGTACAAGTCCCAAATCATGCGATCGATATGATTTTGGTCTTAAAATGTTCGGAAATACCGCTTCTCTAAAGTAGACTAGAATAAAGAGAAACTATTGAAAACTTTTTGTTTATGAATAAATAACTGCAACAATTTTTCGTAAAAATAACACATTTTTTGTTTGAATGACTACAACTCACTCAAAAATTTTTGTAATTTTTTTATTTTAGTCTATATGAAGCACAAACCTCTATAGATTATAAAAAAATTTTTGTTTTTTTTCAGGTCATTTTTCAGCCTCTAAGAACTTCCACCAGCTGGCAATCTGCGTTTCGCCGCACACTCCGCCCACCCGGCCCGTCCAGCTTGTCTATTACTTAAATTGTCGTAGCGATTTTTTTTATGTTTAATTAAAATAAATTTAAATGTATTCCAAATTTTAGAATTTTATCTTTAATAGTTTCTTTTCTATAAATTCCAAAAAATTACCCATTTTTCTGGCCAACAAAGTGGAAACCCCCCTTAATGCAACCTACTTGCGACTGTTTAGATGTTTCGCCTTTTTCGTTGGTTGTAATGTGGATAAAGTGTTTGATTCCTCACTGTAATAAGATTCCTCGTCCATGCTACTGTCCTCGCACGCGGTGCCCCCGTCGTCGTCCTCGCTGTCTGTCGAAGAAGCAGGGGAAGAGAGCTCGGTGGTCACCGAGATCTGACGACGAAATTTTTGCAGGGATCTCTGCGAGTCTTGTGGTTGAAGTAATCGACGGAATCCCGAGCCACCCCAAATCCTTCCTATTTATGGTAAATAAATATTTAATATTTATGGTAATATATATACAGGATGTCCCGTCACTATCGCATTATCTGTTAAGGGCGGATTTCTGAGGTAATTTGAATAAAAAAATTTTAATACAAAAATGGCGAGGCTATAATACTTTTCAAATTATAAACGATTAAAATTAACCAATTATATTGGCTAAAGTACGCACGTTCAGGTATGCACACAGTGGTACAGATGCATGTACAGCATAGCATTTTGCATTAGGATTTTTTTTTTCAAATTACCTCAGGAATCCGTCTTTAAGAGATAATGCGGTAGTGACAGAACACCCTGTATATATATATATACATATATATATATATTTTTTTTTTTTTTTTCAGATATTACATCAATGAATCGTTCTTTTCATATAGAACGCGAAAGGATGTTACATATATCGTATAACAACTCACCAAGTAGACCAAGTTTTGGCCTTGGCGGCATGAGTTCAATACCATTCCACCACATCACATCCTTGCAGACCAATTTGCCCGGACGGAGAGACGGATCGCGTGTCACTAGTCGTGTGATTTTTTCTGGAAAGAAGAGCTGAGGGGGCTCAATAGCTATTACTTCTCTATGTGCTGTTAAGATATTTAACACATTTAATTCCTTTTCACTCCTTATGTCTGGTACGTGTTCCTAAAAAACAAAAAAAGAAGTAGAAACAGGACCACAGGTTATATCACAGCTACGCGGTACTTTTATATTTTGTATGTCATATTTATATATCTCTTTTTAAAATAGTACATATTTATTTAATATAATAAAATATAAATATAATAATATAATAAAATATAAATATAATAAAATAAAATATAAATATATTTAATAAAATGTAATTATGTGTAACAATTTAATTAAATATATGTGCAACATATATATATATATATATATATATATATATATATATATATATATATAT